ACCCCACCGTCCCCCTCACAATGAGGGGGGCTTGAGGTGAATAAAATAATGGGCGGCCCCCCATTTTGAGAGGGGAGCGTGGGGTCGGAAACGCCCTTGTACTTGTAGCAAAACCCATATGAAATAGGTGCGACCTAGAGAGGATAACTCATCGAATAAATACAATGTGTATTGTCAACATTAAACATTGTATATAATAAAATTATTACAGTGTAATACGATCTGGCACCACTATAAATGGGAATAAGCATGCACAGATACGATATATTTTCCAGTGAAACCCATGGCATTCATGAAATAAACTTATATGGCCATATTTGATGCGTCGCGATGAATTAGATGAGATAAGATTAAGAGAGATAGAATTAGGTAAGATTATATGAATGTGGATTAGGGATATGTTCTAATACTGCGTCTAGTGCAATATCATATTGGCGAATATAAAAGTAACAAAATTTTAAAAATAATGTAAATAAGTTTACTTATAAGTGCAAAAGGTAATAAGAAAACCAGCAAATATAAAGCAATTAACCATTTGTCAACTTTCACAAAAATGACCGAAACTCAATAGGATCCCAAAGCAAAACATGTCGTTTAGCAATCCAAAATACACCTGACGAACTCAACATTCATATTTACATTTGCTTCTGAGTTCACAGGTTGAATAAAAAATAAAATGTAGTAATTTATGGCAGCAAGTTCTCTCCTTGGCTGTTGCACCTTCAGATATGAACACGACTGTGGAGGAAAGAGAGAAGACGGTGTAATAATACGAGCCCGGTAATCAGGAGCGTAAGAAAATGAAGCTGCTGCCTAAACCAAAGATCATTTGGCTTCCCTTCATTCTGATCCCTGATGATAAACAGAACAACGAATTACAATCTGAAAGTGTACAAACTGCATGGACATAGGCAAACTCAGTCTACGCCAAACAATGAAAAAAAAATAGAACCAAACAAATGCATAGGGCAGGCTCCACCCCGCTGGGGATTTTTTCAGTCCCTGCCTAATCTCTGCTTATGGGGAGGCAGGGTACGGTGGGGCCAGGCCAGGGACCATGTTTCTTGTTGCCGCCCCATTAGGAGCAGGGCACCACGGGTATTGGAGCAGGCAAGTTTTTTTTTGCCATCCCTAACAAACCAAGATGAGAATTACATAGAGATGGTCTAATCTGAACTAAAACACAGGTCCTTGCTTTTTACCATCAGTGTTTTCGTGTATCAAGTGTTTAATTCACCAGCCAAAATCAATGTACTCAAACTAAACCAAGTATTTATTAGAAAACCCCATTACACCCACCTCCCCACTACGACTCCATGTGTGTTTGTGTGAGAGAGAGAGAGAAAAGTGATCCACTTAGGATTATCCTATATCGGAAAATTGCCATTTCTCAAACCAATTTTCAAGCCTGGGCAACCAATCTACCGAACTTCCATTCACCAATGCAAAAGAGTTCATTACATAGGCAATCGTGTGTGGGTGACTGTTGGAATGTTTTTGATTGAATTATTATACCTTCTTCCCGATGGTGTTAATTTCAGGATTAGTCTTCTTTGCTGTTCATTATTGGAACCAGAATTTAAATCTTACGAAAACACAAAGCGGAGAGCAAGCAGAGAAGGTGAAGGACATAACATTAACTAACCTGTCTCCTCCGCCGGCATTGTATAATGTACCACGAACGGACCACCACATAGCAAGGGATAAGAATTCCGGCCAACTGAAGAACAGATATCTGATACTGAAATATTCGAAGGAAATTTTGAAATTACCACATTAGAAGGGGAAAAAAAAGTTGCATGTGAATACTTTTTGACAAAATCAAAAATAAAACACGAAAATTATTGTTGAATGATTTCCAAGTCCAATAGGAATTCAAATTTAGTAAGTGATGCTCAAAAACATAAAGAGATATGAAATTGGACTTACATGGAAGAAACCTGATGATGCCTGCACCAACCCAAAGTCTCTTGTGACCATTAAAGTTTGGCATATCAGCAAGAGTAACATCAGCTGAAAATAAGGAAAATCCAAATTTAAAATATTTGCTCAAAAAATTACAAAAATATACATCAAAATTCACTTGTGTTCACTTACAATGATAACCACGGAGCGAAAACATGCGAGAGTTCCACTTGCGATGGTATAGTCCTCGTAGTCTGATTGCAGAAACTGACGATCAGCTGTCGTGAAAGTCAAGAAATGAGGATCCCGAAGACTAATGTGTTGAGCCCAAGCTTGCCTGAGGTAAGGATAGAGATGTTATGCATCTCGACAAATCACCAAAAAAAGTAAAAATCTATGGCGTTTCTTTGATATGCACTAGTAGATAGGTCTAGATGATATAATGAACACGGTTTTAGCTGCTTTTTGTTTATCAGTACTATCAAATTCTCCCTACCAAACATACCAATGAAGTCAAGAAGCAAAACACGAGATACAGTGTAGAATTGATTTAGAAATTCACTTCAATGACTGCAAACCAAATAAACTTAACACTTTGAAAATGCATAAAATTTGAAGTGCTCTGTATCTCATTAAGAACCATAATTTCCTTAAAGCATTCTGATTCATGGATCTCTCTCTCTTGAACATGCCAAGCTGAATACTAGGCATTCAAGAGCAAAAATTTTCGTAAGATGCGCTCAGGAATATACCTGATATCAATAGTCATAACATCAGCATTGGTTCTTGGAGCTGGAACTGCATAATTGGGTGAGAAAACCTGTTAAAGAAGACATGAGTTTCATATTTCCTCTGTTACGAGAAGGTCATAAATTCTGCCAAAAAAAAAGAGTGAAATCCCAACCTGATTGCATATTTCGCAGGTTATACCGCCCTTTTTGTTGCACCATCTCTGAATGCACTTTCGATGGGCAAACTACATTTCAAACAAAAAGAAATGCGAAATCAATTTGGCAATATGTCATGGGAAACAAAAGAAAAAGATCTGTTTTCATAAATTATACGATATTCAGAATTACTACCATTTTTCAAATGAACAACTGAAATCGAGAAACAAAATACAGATTTCAAGAGTTATAGTTAACTACAATTAACAGTACGATTATCATAGACCAAACAAAATAGCACGACCTCGAGAACACAAAATGGCGACCACAAATATTCACCAACAATTCAAAGCATACACATAAAAAGTATTAGATTCTATATTAATTAATAAAGTTGCAACCAACTTTTCACGCCATAGTATTGAGAAATCCGTAAATCCATTCTTTAATAGTCCCATGCCAAAAGTAAAAAAACAAAAAGGATTGAAAAAAGTAGGCTAATATTCAAATTTCCAACAAACACGTCTAAAAGTGAACCAATTGACGCTAAAGGAAAGGGGAATAAATAAATAAATAAATAAACGCCAAAAAGAGACATTGATCATATTACAAAATGGTAAAAAACAATAAAGGAAACATTTTTCCCACAAAACCCACTTGAATTGTCTCAAAATTTCAACGCAAAATTTGAAAAGAAAGCAATAATTCTAAAAGGGCTGCAAAAGGTAAAATACAAGAAGAAAAAAAACCAAAAAACCCCAACCAAAGAAAACAAATTTCCAATCGAACTCAACAACGGTAGGAATCTAAAATTACAAGAGAATTAAAAAAAAAAAGTTAAAACCCACAAAAGTAATCAATAAAAGGACAGTAAGAAAAAAAAAATTGACTCTTCTTGAGAGTGCCCTTGCAAACATTACAAAAGCACTAAAAAATATTAAGCCCACAATAAATAATTCAAAAAATGACTGTAAAATCCCAGAAAAAATAAAAAATTGAACCTTGAGAATGCCCTTGAAAGCATCACAAGGAACTTAGCCCACGAGAAATTATTCAAAAAAGGACTATAAAAGGTAAAGAAACACAAGAAAATCCCTTAAACATTGGACCTTGGGAGTTCACTTGCAAGCATTACAATAGACCTAAAATAAAATAAAATAAAGCCCACAAAAAATGATTCAAAAATGTAGAGTAATACAAGAAAATCCCAGAAAAAAAATACCTTGAGAGTGCCATTGCAAGCACAAGGAGCCTCCATATCTTTCTCCTCATCTTCCTCTTGACAAATCCTACACTCTCTCACACTTTCCTTTGTTGAACTTCCTTCACCAATACCATTTCCTTTAAAGCTATTACATTTTTTCAAAGAAACCATTCCAGTAAATGCATTAACATTTTCAGCAGCATTAAAATTAATACTAGTTTCTCTATCGCTCTCTGATGATGATGAACCCTCAAAGCATGCAGCAGAAGCTATTATTCTATCAACACAAACCATGAATTCATCAACCATTTTTTGCTTCCCACAAACACAATGAACAAATTTATTTATAGAGAGAGAATAGTGGGGGTTGGGTGGGTTTTTAAAAGGGTGGTGGACTGGTGGAGGGATAACGGAAGTTACAAAGTGGACATTCTCGGAGGTCTGTAAAGACGAGATTAGCCCTGATTGGTGGGTTTATTTACACGTTTGTTACAAGAAAATATCTTTGTCCTTACACCTTGGTTTAATGCTGGTAACTACTAAAGTAGTGTGTTTGGTGAACAAAATTGCCTAAGGCTTGGTAATTTTTTTTTATTATTATTATTATTTATTTTTTTTTAGTATTTCAAATTATGTCATTGTTTGGTGGAAATTAAGATCATGTTTGAGTTCCATTTTTGTGCTAAAAATATAATTTTAAATAGTGATTTGATCGAGAATGAATAGTTAAAAAATAAAAAAAAAAGTTTTGAAATTATGTATAATATTATTTTATTGAAAAATTTATGATCGAAATAAGAGAGAGAAAAATATATTTTGAAAATAATAAGGACCAAACAAGGGTTAAAATTAGCCTTTTAGTAAATTTTGATAAAAAAAATAATAAATTTGCCCTTGTTTGATCCACGTTACTTCCAAAATAATTTTTTTCTTTTTTTTAACCACACATTTTTCAATAAAATAATATTATACGTAATTTCAAAATTTTTCCTTATTTTTAATAATACGTTTTCTATTAATCTACTATTTCAAAATACATTTTTACAAGAAAATGGGCTATGTATGATTAAAAAGTCTTGGGTCTCTTGAAATGTAGTTAAAATTAATTATTAATTAAAATTAAAATTAAAATCTGAATTTTAATCTCTATCAAACAAAAATTGTTTTAAATTGCACTATGTGGCAAGCTCAATTAAAGATAAAAATATGAAATTATATGATTTATTTAATTGGATCTCACGTTTAATGTCATTTAAACTGATGTTGATGCCAAATATCATAACAGTATTTTAAAAGGTCGAAGGAT